CGTAGCCTAAACCCCAAAACCCAAGAGGGTTTTTCCTTCCTGCCGCTAATGCAGCTAATGCAGCACCTGTGGGCATCCACCAAAACACCCCCCAGTAGCTCCAAATATGTCGCAGTTTTTGCGCCAGGCTCCAGCGGAAGCCAGGACTGGAAGGGCGGTTCCGCTGCCTTCTCCGATTTCTTTGATGGTTTTTCAGTGCGTATGGAAAGGACTCCACCCAAACGAGAGCACCCTCAACAAAACAAACACAGCAGTGAACCTTGTAGGGGTCAGAAAGGACAGCTGGATCGGCTGGCCCTGATTCGGTACTATACCCATGGATGTTCCCATCTTGGCGTGGGATAATCTGCAAGTTGATTGACTAACCAGGGCAGCTACAATCGTGAACCGCCACTGCTAAGAAAGCTTGGCCTCAGTGCTCAACCGTAGCTTAGCCGTTCAGCTGACAAACTGCATTGGTTGTTGAACAATCTTCATCGATTTCGTCAGCAAGTAGATAGTGCGTTTCGGGGGAGGATTCCTGTCGCCACGACTTTGCCACTTGCAGTCATCCAACCTAGTTGTCGACTGCCCGAGTTTGATTGAACCTTCTTGCCAGAGATCCTGGGCGACAGACAAGTTGATCTCCCCACTTTAATGACCCGTTGTTGCTTAATTGCTCTTCGGCCCAACCTTCAACCCTTTTTGAAAGTGGCGGTGTCCCTGCTAAATTTCAGCTGTTGTTTTGCAGCAAAACGCCAGCCCAGCTCAAGTGGCCCTATTCATAAACGGGTTTCACCTTGTAACTTTGGGCCCAGGTGCCATTATTGGGAACCCGTTTTTGAATCAGCCGACTTGCCGACCCTCCACTTTGCAGGTGTTCAAACGCCTCCCGATTGGTGTTTTACCAGCTGGGATTCTTCCAGTTGCTTCAATGAATATTTAAACATATTTATTAATTTTAAAGGACCACTGAAGACATGCTTTCTCTTAGTTGGGCTAACAAAATAGAAGGATTGTGGCCCTGGAGTTCCCGGCCCTTTTGGTTTCGAAACTTTTGGCGAGTCAGCAAGTCATTTCGAGAAATTCAACGCGCGCGCTGTGCATACGAGTGAACTAATAGTATTCAACAACTGACAGCTGCTCCGATGCCGGACTTCCAGCTTGCAATTGCATTCTTTCCGTGAACCCATGGTCCATGGTCGTTTTACCCCCCCCCCCCCTAACAAAACATTGCAGTTGAAATCCGCGAACACATGGAGTAGCCACAACCCATAATTACCCCCTGGGGTTACTTAACCACTAATGACCCATACATTTGGGGTTCATACCAGGGGTTCATGTGGGTCTTGCTTTTATTCTTCTGCGACCCCTCCACAATGGTGGTTGTCCTTTTCATTTCCCCTTAACGCCCTTCAGACAACAAACAAGGGTGCCTTCAAAAAAAACACCCATCTATGGATGCGTGCGAGATGGGCTTCCGCAGGAAGAGCAAGCTGCCCACCCAGGCCGAAATCGTGCTGAACCTGTGCTTGAAAAAAAATGGTGGGAAAGCCAAAGGCAACCAACCCGCTTTCAGGCCGCTCTTAAATTGTCCAAGTGATTCTTTATGGGGCAAGGCCAAGGAGTCCCAACCTGAAGATTGCTAGCACAAACATGACAATGGTTCCGGTTCCTGGGGCCGTGGCCAAGGAGTTTTGAGCATGGCATGGGCGGGGTTACCTTGAGGCTTTCCTTGGACATGTTGGTGATTGAAGGGAGGGATGGCTGCCTCAGAGTCCATTCCTATTATCTTCTTCTTTAAAACGCAGTTTTTTACCCAGAAGCAGAACAAGGAAAGGCCGAAGTGAGGCCCTTTCCAGATGGCTGGAACTTAGTCCAAAACCAACCTCAAAGCCAACGCAAACACGAAGCACCAACTTAGCCAGGGTCCTGAGCTGTTGGGATTTAAGTGTCACCTTTTGTTTGCAGTTTGTTCCGCTGTCCTTTTGGACTGGGACTATAGTGCAGAATTCCGGGGCCAGGATTCTAAGTTGAGTGGGTCGGCCCTGGCTGTTTCCGTGTTCTGTCTTTGACAGCTCAATTTGGCTTAAGTCTCATTGAACCTTAGTAGCCAACTTTCCCTGAGTTCATTAACTTTAGTAATCGTTCGGGAAGACCATGGGAGTGGTAAGCAAACAGTGGGGACTTGTTTGGGCCAGTCATGCCAGGATGTGAGCCAAGTGACTTAACCCTATGGCACCTGGGCTCCATGACAGGCCTTTGGACATCGCAGGCCTACCTCCGCGCCGCGGAGTTCGGGGACCTCACCGGGCTTCGGGGCTTGGCGCTGGAGGCGGAGGCGGAGCTGGCGGGACGGCGCTGCAAGGCACTGCTGGGGAGGGGGGGGTGGTGGCACCGGTTGGGGTATGCCCTGGCAAAACTTCGAAAAAGCGGCGGGATCTAAAAAGAAAACGACACTATTTTTGACAAGCCCCCGAGGGCCAATCTGAACTTTTGTTTTCCCCTCGACGTTTCTTGCTGGGCCCTTGGGGCAAGTGAGGCTGAGCAAGTAGGTTGCAACAATAGCTATAACTTATAATCCGGTCCCCGCAAACAAACAACTGTCCCCCTCCGCTCATGTATTTTGTTTTTGTTTTTTTGTTTAAGTGACTATGTAACTGGTGGTGCTTGGGTTAGCTCATAGCTCAACATCCAACAAAGGGGCCGCCAGGCGGGCAGGGCGCAACTGCACACTGCCCTGGCCTCCAGTGGGGGCTTTTCTGCTGTCTCCAATCTTTCTGGTATATTTCAGAGTAGGCTAGACATAGGTGGACCCCCAAAACAAAAAGGGGATACCCTCAAGAAATAAATTGCCCGTACCCGTCTTGAAAGTTGATAGGCACACTTTCTATCCCAAGAAATCGCAATCATGGTTGTGGAAAATATGTTTTTGTTTCTTTTTTTTGGTGATACCCCCTGCAATGCCTTGAAATTGACAAAGTCATAAGGCAGGACCACTTCGGTATAACAGGAAGCCTTTTCGCTTCCCGGATTTGGTCCACATTTAGTCAAGGTTCCAAAAGGCTAACCTTTTATGTCCATGTCCTTTGGGCAAGTGAGACAACCATGGTTGCACTTCCCATTCTCTGCCAGAACTTTTTGGGCTGCGACCCGCACTTTCTGGTGGACTCTGCCAACCACCTCAGCTGCGCTGAGCGCAAGAATTTGAAGTACCAATTCACGGAGCTCCCGGAGCTTATCAATGCTGTAGGCGGGACCCGTGCGCGCTTGGTGGGACCGCACTCAGTAGGTTTGGGGTCTCCTCCCTTTTTTTTTGAAATAGAGGTAGCTATGGAGGATAATCTGAAAATTGGCTTTTTGTTTTTGAGGGGCTCCTGTCTCCTTGTTTGATTTGTGTTTTTAATGATGGGTACCCTCCTGCCCACTGACATGGAACCTGACCCCTTGAGAGGGGCCCTGTGCTGGGTTCCATGTCAGCGGACAGGAGGTGCAATCAATATGGATTATAATCTGAAAATAGTGCTGCTTTGTTGCATGCCACATATTTGGGCCAAGATATGTGCCATGGGCAAAGCACCGGTTCGTCGAGATGGTCATGGACCCCTTTATACGTACAGCCAATGCAATGAGTTCGATTAAGGAAGCCAGGCAGCTGTGGCTAATAACCCTAGTTAAGTCCCTCACCCAGTTCCTTTTGGTGCTTCTCCTTGCGCCTGTGTGTGTATTGGATGGTTTCTCTTTGACCCCCCCCCCCCCCACGAAACCGCAAAACACAAACCCTCAACAAGAAAGGCGCCTCTACACCAATTGTTGAAATCACCTCCTGTTGGCTTCCCGCTAAAGGTGGCCCGGGTCTGGTGGTTCTTGCATTGTTCTACCACCAAGCAGGTTACCGTTCGCTGTGGTTTGGATCGATCCGAGCTTCGACTGGGTAAATAGGAAACAACTCCGAACCACCGGGCTCCACCGATTAGAGGGCAGGGGCCTCCTGCAAAACAGTTCCATGCTTGGCAGACGAAAGATAATAGGAACCAGGATCTGAACAGCATATTTTCTAACAGAACATATGGGCCAAAAAGGCAAAACCACAGTAAAACCACCCTTCCCCGCCTCTCCGGGCCAAACGCCAAGACCTGAGGTAGCGTGAAGGCGCTGCCACCGATGCTTGGCCGGTCTGCCAGCAAGCCCCTTGCGGATGAGGCGGATCGCACGAAGGCGGGGGGAAGCAAAAGGCACACAGAAAAAGTGTCTGAAAAGGGGAGGGGGAACCCATGTATACCGAGCTCCTTCTGGTGTGTATTTTTTGGAAATGAGCACAAAGACACACACACACACACACACGCGCAAAGGCCGGACATAAAGAGGGTTTGGTGTTCTTTGATTAGTGGGTTCTACATAGGCGGGGTCCGGACATAGAACAAAGTCCCGTCTTCTTTCGGGACAGTTGAAGCTTTCATGGGCTGTGCAGCAGCCAGAAATATTCAGCGCCGTCCGCAACAAGTATGGGCTGGTATTTGGATGGTGTCTTTAAGGGAAAGCCACGAGCCGGTTTCATACCATTCGTCAGGCTCACCCTGCTTTACTTGGTGTAGATACTCCCTTCGATTCATTGGGTTCGAAATGTCGCCCGAGACGAAGGTCCGCGCTGTCACCCCAGCTCTGGCGAAGACATCGGGCATCAGCGGGCGCTTGGCGCGCTCAGAAGCCTGGCAACAGCCAGTGGTGCAAATCCTCAGCTGCGAAGAGGGCCCAAAAGGTTCGCCTTGTATTTGTGAGTCCTTTGCCAGTCTGTCACCCCAGTCAGTCCAGCTATCAATTAAACAATTCCGGATCTTTGCGAAGAGCACCCGACATTGGAAAGGTATGTCTTCTGAACAGCGCCTGTAAGAGAGTAGCATTTTGGCTGAGGCGCTCCCGCAAAACTGCGATTTTCCGCATGCCGCGAACAGGTACTGCTTGGCGGTAACTTGTATTTGTGCATGTGCGTTTGCTTGCGAACCATTTTTCCAGGAGACCCTTGACATGGTGGGCTTCTAAGGCCCTTTTCCTGAGGTTGGTTTGCTTTCTGAATTGTAGAATCCTGGCACTTAGCTAGGGCTCCACCAGCTTTCCCTCTTTCCCATCCTTCCTTTCTTCCAGGGCTTCCGCAATTGTCCAAGGGATGTACTCCCCTTCCGGTGTGCTGTTCCACCTGTTCTTCTCGGCCTTTGAAATGAGCCGTTTGGTTTTTTCTTGTTTCATCTCGCATTGCCGTGCAAAGGGCCAATCCAGGACCATGACCTTGCCGTCGTCTGGCTTTGAATCAGTATTTTGCCAGCTTGGTGCCCCCCCTTTCCTTCCCCTTTCTTTTTGCCAAACACTACCTTTTCCGACCCGTTCGTTTCATTTCCCTTGCTATTTGTTGCCTTTTACAAGGACCTCTTCTGGCTTTTGATTGGCCGCCTTTTGCCATTGGCCGGCCTCTTGTCCCTTTCTTTCTCTTGCCGGCCGTTCTTTTTCCATCTGTCCGGCTTCCCCTGACTCCGCATCCAAATGTTTCAACATGTTGGGCCCTGGGACTACTTGAACAGGAGTTGCAAAAGACACATAATTACTTTGATTTGAGGGTATCTTAAAATAGGATACCGCAACAAAGATGTAGTTTCCCCTAGCCCAGACAAGGCTACTAGTACCAGCTCAAAGGACGAGCCACCCACATCGGTCCGAGGAGAACAACCTCACGCGGCTGGCGAGCACTTTGCAGGCGCGGAGCCACGTGATGGAGGCGGCCAAGTCCCAGCCGCAGCTGCTCTGGGAGCAGGCGCGCCGCCTGCTCCCTCAAAGCGCTCAAGCGCGATTTGGAGCGCCGAGCTCTTTCGGCCGTCGGTCATTTTTAAGGGCCTGATCAGGACATGGGGTGAAGATGTTGGGGGTGAAGATTGAGGTGTTTTGGTGGTGTTGAGGTGTTGCGGGGTGAAGTTTCAGGTGTTGGGGTGAAGCTTGTCCTTGTCCACATTGCCAGGCTTAGTTTGCTGTGATGGCTGTCGAATCATTTGAATAGGTTTGTGAGGTACTTTAAAGCCAGTCTAAGGCATGATCACAAGATGATAAGGTGTGTGATGATTTAGCACCTTATATCACGTAGATCGGTAGAAGAAACCCAGATCACTTGAGGAAACATCCCCAATATATATCGACCGTCGGCAATAGCCGTGCCTCTTGTTTTGGGGTGTTGGGAAGACCATGGGAAGTGTTAAACATGATGTTTATGAAGGTTCTGGCCAACACATTCGGGAAGTGAGCTTTACTTAGTAATGTTGACGCTTTCCTGAAAGCACTTCGCAACATGTTTTCCTCCAGCCCCAGTTTTGATTCATGCAGTTTCAGCTCGAATGATGTGGGCTAGACTGACTGGCCATGAAAGGCTTGTAAGCTTTTAGGTCTTGACTTAAATATTAAGGTCACCTGCCCCTTTCTGGTTCATCTTTAGTAAAGTTCCAAAGGTAAAGCTTTTACTTCTAGGATTCTAGGTCCTTTGGGCAACTGAGAAAGATATTTTCCAACAGGCAGTTTCAACGTTTGCCAACTACACATTCAAGCAACAACCGTGTATGGGGAAGGATTTTATCCCCATGAAATCCCGACCTTACATACTTGTATGAGTGGGATGTGGACGACATGGGACATGGCATTCATGTTCCAGGTCGGGAATGTGAGAATGGCGGCTGGATCGAATGTAGGGAAGGCGTGAGAAGGTGAGTCGCAATCAACACCCGGGTAAGTGAAGGTTACTAAGGAACAGTCCCAGCCATAAATAGTTGCGGCCGCCTTCTTAGTTCTTTACATGGTTCTGGGTCGACCATTTTAACACCAGGTTTTGATGGTCACTCAGGTGACGCAAAGAGCACATTTCAGACTAGTTGAGTTGCAACCCCCTTGCTTGTAAGACAATCCCAACCTGCATCACGTTTGCGGGTTTGCAACCATTTTGGAGGTGGTTGCCCGTTAGGCAATTCATAGCCACCTGAATCTGTTTGACCAGACCGGGTCAGCTTTCACATGCTCAAAACTCCATAGTGGGGATTCGGGAACTGGAAAGAGACACCCCCGTCGCCCCGCCATGTGGAAGGCCCGACTGGGGGAGCAGGCGCTGCCTGCACTCGCGCGGGTGTTGAAGAGCGAGCGCCTCGCGGTGAAGGTGCGGCATGCGATTTGAGCTATCTTGAAACGTGACCTACGGCCATCAACGCCTGGAGGTTTGAACACAAATTTATTTTTTGGGTTATGGAGTAGGAAACTCAGAGTGTTGCCTTTGAGCGGCATTTGCCCGAAATCAAATACCAACATGTTTGGAAGGTTTGGAGGACTGGCTAGAGGAAGCTTCCTGTGTTGGAGGAAGTTTTCTGGGTACTTCCTTTGTACGGCTTTTAGTTGAAAAGTGGGTTCCCTTTGAGGTTTTCCATGGGTAGGCATTTCTACCCGGACCTCTAACAAGGGTGCCTTGATGTGCCTTGTGTTCCTTTTTGATTTTGAAGCATCCTTTGAATTCAACCAAAGCTGGAATTGATGTCCGTGTTCCCATGGCCACATGCGCATGTACTCTTGGCGGTGCCCCCCCATACGATTCCTTAGACTTTGGATTGTTGAGTTTGGCGGAGTTTCTGACATATTCCACTAAAAAGTCATTTCTTAGCAAAGCATCAACGAACCAGGTACTGGCGGGAATTTTCAGGTTTAGGTTTGTGACTTTTGACAGTCTAGATTTGACCGAGCCATCAGTTGGGTGAAATCAACATCTAATGGGTTCTGTTTGAGCAAAGGAACCCACAGGGGCATCAAATTTCTGATTTGTCCAGTTCACTCCCCGAGTTCCTGGGCTTTAAACTGCTTGAAAAGACCAGGTTCGTGGTGGATAACATGTTTGGACGTTTTTTGGCCAATCCTCTCGTGAAGAGCCAGAACCCCACCCTTCCTCTCCCCCCCCCTCCCCCTGTACCCGTTTATTTGACATCCGGTTTCAAACCCAATGGGTGGTTTGGGCTCTAAGACTTGGAGGCGGTTCTCGCCACCAAAACTGCGACTTCCCACGGGACCAAACTACACTTGTCCAAAGAAAATCGGCCTTTTGACCTTCTGCTTCCCTTTTTGGCCCATTTTTAGTCATGGCCCTATTGATTATTTCGCCAGGTGTATGTGTCAATGTGACGGCTTGAACGGGCCAGTTGCACCTATGAAGGGTGGATTGCCATTGCACCAAGCTTTGAGTACAACTTATTCGGCGGAGAGTCCCCATGTAAATGATGTCCACCAAAGGGTCGATTGGGTCCCCCATTGCCTCCTCCCCGATTTGTTGGTATCGTTTTTTTTGGTTCCGGTTCTCTGGGTGTTTTTTCCCGCTGGGGTTGTTGCATTCCTCTTGGTTCCCGGTTTGGTGCGTGGCACCCTTTTTCCTTTCTTCATGGTGGGTTCCCCGCGAAACATTCTCAATGCCAACCCTGCAAAAGGCTGCCCATTTCCTTCTAGCCGATTCTAGCCTCACTTCTAAGGGTGGAGGGGTGATTTAAGCGTTGATTTGCGAGGAATCGCCAAGTGATTGGTGCCCCCCCCACCCCGATTGACGCGTTCACCTCCTAGACCTTGGCAAGGCCAGCCACTTTGCTGACTCCCACCATAGGGGGTAATTAGGCCCAATCCTGCTGTAACCCTGATGTTTGGGGGGGGCGTTGGCCTAGTTTGATGGTCTGGGACGAATCGCTAAGTGGTTAGCAACCATGGTTTCCTACCAATTTAAGTCTTAAGTATTCCTTCTGGCCTTCTATTTGCCAACCCCCTGCAAGCCATGCACCACTTTCGGAGGCCACCAAGATGAGGCCTGAGCTGCTGAGATACACTGACGCTATCTCCAAGAGAGACGGGCAGAGGGTGGTTTGTGAAAACCCCTTAGTGGAGTTCCCTTTTTTTCGTTCAGCGAGGTTACCTCTCCGATCTGTTTGGGGCATTTCCTGGGGCAGGCCCGCTGAGGCGCTGAGGTTCCAAACAGGTTTCACGGAATGGCTTAGGCTTCGCAAGGATCTCAACTTCTGTTTGATGTCTGGACCCCTATGGTCAAGGTCCCGAAAGGCAACCCTCTTTCCAGGGCCTTGCACTTTCCCTTGAAGTGATCTATGGGAGTCGCCCGCTTTGGGTGTCAATCACGCATGGGAAGCAACCACTTAGGGTCATTTCCCAAAGGCACACCAAAGTGTCCGAGGTCTCGCAGATCTCAAGGGAATCTCCAAGGGGCATGCTCCATTTGGTGAAAACCGCACCAAGGAGGCGATCCGGAAGATCCACACCCAACCAAACCAAAAGGTCTAACGGTTTTTTTTGACGCGCAAAAGCCCTCACTTGCCCAAACACAACCTTTCAACCCTTGGCTTCCCTGACTTCGTCCAATTTCAGTGGTCTTAAAAGGTGATCACCCATTTAGTTGCAACCGAGACAGCTGAGGAGTCCCAGATCCGGAAGATCATGCCCACGTTGGTGTCGCTCTGCGGTGGCGCACAGGAAGCCGCGTACGCCATCAGTGCGCGCCCGGAACTGCTGGAGATCGAGGGCGCCCATGTGCTACGAGACTCCTTGCAGGTGAGCCAATGCTTCCCTCCAGGGTTTCCTCCACGTCCCTTTTTGGATTCTCCAAGAGTGGCAGTTTTAGTGGAAACTAGGAGTCAATTGCAGCTTTTGAAGGGGAAGTCCAGTGTCCCCTGGTGTCGTCTTCTTTTTGTTGCAGGGGTGAGTAAACCCACTGGATTCCAATGCTCCGTCCGCCACTCACGCAGGCGGTGTCCAGCTTCTTCGGGAACCTGAAGGATGCTTTGCACCACTGCCAGACCAAAGGCTTGCCTTTTTGCCATTTTTGCCTTTGGGTTCGTTTTTTTGGCTTTGCTATCTTTTGGATTGAACGTTTTGCCCGTCGACGGGTGGATCTGTTAGGTACATGTTGGGCCAAACCACGGCGCCGCCCTCCCTGCGGGTCGTGGCACGGCAGTTCTGCCGGGAGTTCATGGTGGGCCAATATTTCTTGGTGGAGGGTGCGCAGGCGGGAGACTCCTCGATGAGATGAATAATTCGCATTTGTGCCATGGTCAAAGCCCCCTTTTTGCTTGGGGGTTTGCTCGGACCACCAACAGCCTGCAATGCATATATATATATATTGTTGATTTTCCGTTGCTATGGAGCTGGAAGTAGCCAGGGTTTCACTTACCGTGGCGCTTGCCAGCCATGCGGTTCCTTGGGCTTGTAGCCTTTGGGAGTTTAGAGGGATTTATCACATGTTCCACCAACAGTGATAAACTTTCAGCAAGGCATTAGCGAACAACCAAGTACAGCTTACCTAAAGCAAACTGGCTTGATGAATCCTAAGCCAGATGGGTTTGATGGCTTGCCTTGTTGTAGGGGTGTCTCACTGTGGATTTCGGACTAGGAGACGGGATCCCCTGCCATTACGGACCAGGACCCCCTGCCCATTTCTGAGCTATGCGCAAGTGGAGTCAGGCGGCCAGAGCAAACAGCAATTGAGCAACCCAGGTGAACCACTTTTGTTCGAGGTTTCTTTTTTAGCGACAGCAAAAAGGAGCGGGGTCAATCCGATCCGCATGAGAGCCTGTGGTTGGAGGGATCCAAGAAGCGTTTGGGAAGGTTGGAGAGGTCCACTCCTGGGGGATGATGCTCCTTGGGCTTTTGGGTGCTTGGGAATACTCCATGCACCTCAGACTAAAGAGCAATCGGGATGTGCACATTTTTCGGGGTGTAGTGTTTCGGGGATTGATGGGTGAGCCCGAAGTCTGGTGACACCTTTTGGAAGGAGTTGATTTGAGCAGACGAATGCTTAAGCAAGGTTTGAGGTGCCCCCTCCTTGTCAAATGTTTACACTCAAAACGCGCACATACTACATCTGAATATGGATCAATATATTCTAACACGTCTTTTACAACACGGACCAGATTATATTTTGCCATTATTTACGACTTCCAGCAAACGTGTGGGAAAAGCAAACATGTGGGAAAAGCAATCAAGCAACTCTTGATCAGTTGCCAAACAGCGAAACCATTTCCAAACAGCGAAACCATTTCCAAAACGCTCAAAGGTTTTGCAGGCCAGTCGACCCGGCATCAGAAGGAACATGTACGGACATCCCCTCTGTTTCAGGGCAACCAGAAAGAGGTTGTTTGAACAAAAGCACCTCGAATCACCCAACCTTGAGTGGCTTCTTGTAAGGGGATCCCCTTCCGATTCATTCCCAAAGCCCCTCTAAGTGGTACCCTCTGACTCTAACTTCCTTGTAGTGGTTCCCCACACAATTGGCAGTGGTAGCCCTGTACTATTGGTTCACTGCATTTGTCACCCCTCAATTCATTCCCGAGTCAAGCGACCGGGTTTCGTGTGCGTTTTTCCTAAGCCATTCCCTGAGAGTCAAGCGACCGAGCGACCGGGTTTCGTGGGCTTTTTAAGCCAACGGCAGGTAGACGACCGGCCAGTGTGGCGCAAGCCTGCGGTGGCCATGAGGCACCTGGGCTCCAAGGCACGACTAGACCGACTGACTGACCCAAACCCCATGGCCCAAAATGGATATGTGAAGGGTGGTTTGGTTTGTTCTCCCTTTCAACCATGCCCAAAAAAGGTACCATCAAAACAAGACAACTAGGTTTGAGCCAGTACGCTCTGGTATGATATTCGGCCTGTTTGCCGCTAATATGGTTTTCCCAAAACGTTGGTTTGAATCATTTTCGGAAACCGTGTTTGCTTCGTTCATCTCCAGAAATGTCTTGTTTGGTTTTGCTTCACTTTGGATTGCCTTTATTTCCGTCAACTTCTTAGTGCTATGTTCCCGCTTAACCTGCGACAAGTCCACTTTTAGCAGGGGGTTGAAGTCTGGCCAATGGCCAAGTTCTGGATCGATTTGTTCAAATGATCCGCGGATATGAGTCAGACATGCGTCTGAGCTGTCTTGCTGTGCCCTCCCGTCAAGGGAAGGAGGCACATGTGCAAAGATGATGTGACTTGGTTCGCTTTGAAAAGCGGTTCGAATTGAAATGCTGAGCTGGCTTGGCAGCCAGTCAAAGTCATCCCGGAACCATGCTTTTTGCGCGGTGTGTGCGATCCGGCTGTGCCTTCGAAAAGAGTTCGCGAAGAAACGCAGGCCACAGACGTGTACCTAATCTACTGCCAGAAGGGCGTGGTTGGCTCCGACACCATGAAGCCGTGCTGGACCTTCACTACAAACTACACCCCTGCACTCAAGAAGCAGCTCTGCTGATTTGCGAATGGGCCTTGTGCGAACGTGGGAGCTCACAGGGCTGCGGAATATGGCCTTCCACTTGTGACCCCCAGTGGGGTAAACAACACGTGTGTTTTGCTTCATCTTTGTTTGTGTTTGTCTACCCAGGTTGAAGACAGGGTAGTCTGGGCTCCAAGGATCTTTGTCAGAGGCTTTCTTTCTTTTTATGGCAGCCTACAGGAGAACCCCCACCACCACCACGAACATCATCAACAGCAATAACAATGACCCTCAAACACAACCACAGACACAACCAGAAACATCACCAGAAGGATGCGACCACCACCACCACCACCACCACCACCACCACCACCACCACCACCACCACCACCACCAAGCACAAGCACAAGCACCAGTAGCAGTAATTAGCACCAGCACCAGCAGCAGCACCAGCACCACCACAACGGGCACAGCAACAGCAACAACAGCAGCAACAGCAACAAGAGCAACAGCACCAGCACCAGCACCACCACAAAAGCAACAGCAACAGCAACAGCAACAGCAACAACAGCAGCGACAGCAGCAACAGCAACAGCAACAGCAGCAGCAGCAGCAACTACTACTATATACTACTAGCACTACCACTACCACTACTAGTACTACTACTACTACCACTACTACTACCACCACCACCACCACTACTACTACAACTACTACCACTACTACTAGTACTACCACTACCACTACCACTACCACTACCACGACCACTGCCACTACCACTACATCTGCTTCTTCTACTCCTACTACTATTGCGACTACTACTACTGCTACTGCTACTGTCACCGCTACTGCTACTACTACTACTCCGCAAGCAGCAACATTTTCACCAACACCAACACCAACAACCACAACAACAACGAAGAAGAACAATGGCCAAGAAACAACAACAACAATCCTAGACGCGTCAGCAACAGCAACAGCACAGCAGCAGCAACCACCACCACAACCTCCACCACCACAGACAGAACAAGAACAAGAATAATCACAATAACAGGAGCAAGAGCAATTACATGAACATTATTTATCCCTTTCATTAGCAACAACAACCAACACAACCACAACAGAAAACGTTTGGCTCGCCCGAGGTACGACTATTGCGACCCGTCCATTTTGGGCTGGGCGGAGACCAGCGTGAAGTCCCCGGACCAGACGGAGCCGGGGGATTGGCACTTCCCAGAGGAAAAGCACAAGACGCAGGCCGGATACCCATGTCCAATTTGGATGACAAATCCAGGGGCCCGTGCCCAGATGGTTTGTGGACGATTTGCTAGGTGGTTAGCTTTTAACTCACCAAGTCACCAAGTTCGCGGTTGTAAGGACCCTTCCAGTGGGTTTTAACAAGGTTGACAACCATTTGAGCCATTTGAGGAGCGTGAGTTGTGGTAGTAGTAGTAGTTGTTGTTTTTGTTGTTTCCATTGGCTCCTTGCAAAATCCCAGCGTGTTCGTGCGCTTGAAGTCTTTTTGGCAGACAATGGCCCAAGATAATGCGAAAATGCACGTTTGAAGTTGTCATGGAGGGATGTCCCAGCTGAGCACACTGGTTTCGATTGGATGGTAGAAGGGGAAGACAACAGCTTTGTTGGCTTTGTGCAACCTTGGTGTAAAAGGATGAAAAGACTTCCGTACATTTCGCATTGAAGCCAAACATGGGGTCGTGCAAAAACAAATTCCACCACAAATGGGTGGGTTCCGGGGTGCCGTGGTATTTTTTAGGAGGGTAAGGCCTCACTTTGTTTGTAGTGTTGTGGCTTTGGTGTGTCCAGTCGGTTTCGATGTGTTGGGTGGGAGGGGGGTGGCGCGTAATTAGCGAGAAGTACCCAACTGCCCGAGGACAAGAAGCGGGTCTTTGACAATTATTAGAAGAATCACCTCCAAGTCATGTCAAGCTAGTATCGAGTCTTCCCACCAGGTGTCAGTGAGTCAGTGTGGCCACGAAACCCAACATAGCATCAGCCTTAACCTTTAACCCAGAAGTCTGAGGTTTTGTGTGTGAATTCAGTGGCTGGTGGATTGACCTTTAGCTGGTTCTGTTGGGGATGATATTTGTTTTGTAACCCTGCCTGATACTATGCATGGCCGAAACCATGCACCAGTTGATACGTGGTTAGTTCTCTATTCATCAGGGCTTCATTCATTCCAACTGGTGCAATGTTTTCATCCGCTGTAGAAGCCCATAGGAGGGTTTTGGAAGGCAAAATCCTCGAAAGACCTGGTGTCCAAGGGCATTTCTTAGGTGCCTAGGGCGATATGTGTTTTCTTCCCTTTTCTGAGCACTGAAAGCGGGCGCACATGACCTGCCACATGATTCCTTAGTTCCTGTTGGAAGTTATAGCAACACTCCCCGAGTTCTTGCACTTTCACTTTTGGGAGAAGGCAATTTCACTGGTATAAGCTAACATTGACTTCTGCCAGTACACATCAGGCAGTGAGAAAAGACAAGCCCAAGGAGAAGCGTGGTATATGTTTATATACGCTTCTTGGGAGGAGTCGGTGGTTTTTTGACAGCACACTTCCCTCTTTTCTTTTCTTTTTTTGTGGGTTAAAAGGGAATCAACAAAAACGTCACCAGTTTGCCGAGTCCAGCGAATTTTAAAAGAGGCCCAGGTGAAGGTGTACCCTCAAGACAAACATCGGTTGCAAAACGGGCTCCCCGGCATCGAATGTGCCCACACCCACCACATTCCAACTGGTGGGACCCCCCCCCCAGGACAATTTTGGTTTACTACCTCCCTTGCCCTGCTGAGCTGAGGTTCTTAAGTTAGGGTTCACCTTTAATTGGTCTGGGTCCTTTGGGGAACTGAGACACTCTCACCCATATATTTTGCACCACCCGGAAACTTGCTGGTGCGACCTCATTTCGAGACCACCCGGGAAAAAGGGGCAAACCGGGCCCGGGAGCCATACCCAGCCGGGTTCGATGTGAGGTCCCAGGCCTTTGGCCGGCGGACCGCTACGTGGCCTGCCAGGGCCACCAAGGCCAGGGAGCTATCTTTGTGGAGTGATCTTCTAAAGGGAAATCAAAGGAAATACCGGCAGTTTGGGGGCTTCCTCAAAAAAGTCACACCCGCGTGTTGTTTATAATGAAATTGATTCAAGAAAGAAGCAGCTCTTGCCAAAGCAAGGGAACACAGAGAGACAAAGCCAAGGAAACAGTTTCAAGATTCAAAATACTTTGGCGATCCATATTTTCAAACAAAACAGCGGGCAGGCGCATGGGGCCCCTGGCTCTGTGCCACGGATAGCATGGAGATGCGGCGCGGCTTCGACCACCTGCGGATGGCTCTGGGCCTGGCGTGGTTGCAGCCAGAAGCCGAAACGGAAGGCGAGAAGAAAAGAAAAATCACTCGACCCTTTGATCTGACATTTTAGTTTCCTCTTTTTGGGTTACTTGTTTGGTGGGTTTCACAAGGGGACACCCGTTCTATGCCACTTTGTACAAGGGGCACAGCCTTGCAAGCTTACATAGATGGAGCAAGCTTACATAGATGGAATAGAAGCATCCATACTTTCAATACCCATACCGCCAGTATATATTGTTGGTGTTCGGATACTTTATTCTCGAAGGCCCCCTCTCATTTTGTCCAGTGGTCTGCATGTGTGGTATGGAGGTTGTGGAGGCTTGGAGAATTGCTGATTTTCGAGAACATTACGTTTGCATCGGAAAGGGATCCACCACCCGAATTGAAGCAAATTAACATAAGCCCAATCCCTAAGCCTTGGACCCCTGATTAATTATACTTACGTGGCGAGCGATTCCACCGATCCAGGTCAAGTCGAGTGAAGCCCCAGGATGTAGGTCCTCTACTGGGGGGTCACTTGCATGGTGAAACAAGCTTCTTAAAACTCGGAAACCACATTTACGTAGTCATGATTACGGGAGTAAAGTGTCGGTAGTTATTTAGCCCCTTGCATCATGCAAACGATGCAGGTGTCCTTTTAGGTCAGTTTGCTTGAACACATCCCCCAAATCTCCTTCAACCTCAGCCCGGATGGCTATGCAATGCTAAACATACACATGTGTTTATATGTGCACACATCACTCCAGTACAAAGTTGGGGTTTGTGGTCAACCGATGTCTTTCCAGGCGCCGCCCGCGGCCCATGTCTATTGGGCCACCTGGTGAAGAACGACCCCGTCTTCCAGGGCTCCAAAACGTTGAGCTTCCTGGATCTCGCGGATTTCGCGCACATCCGGAGGCGGGTTCGAATCCGAAATGCGGATTCTAAATCCGGAGACCAGCGCAAGGTAGCGGGTGGGATGCTTGGAAACGACCCACGAGCTCAAGGGCTGGGGTGAGATGTTCCGTTTTGTTTATTAGGTGCGCAGGGGTTCGCTGGGCAAGCAGAGTTGTTGTGGAAAATTTGTTTTGGCCTATCATGAGGGCCAGCAAAGACATTCCCATATGGTTAGCCAACCTCAATTTGGCCAATGAAGGTGGCAGTTCCTGCAGCTACCGGCGGACACATCGACGGGCAAGCTAAAGATGATCGCGTGGGAGCCCATTGAGGCAGAGCATCCGATCTGGTTATATATCCATGAGGTCACTTGCCTTGGCTTAGGAACTGGGTTACAATCCCCAAGCCACCAATCCAAACCACCAACTAAGGGTTCCATGACACTTGCATGCACTCCGCCCCAATGGGGTGTCTCCTCCAAAGCTATATGGCTGCCCATAAGACAAGAATTGGGGAACCCCCTTTTTGGGATGGTTTCAAGGGGGGGGGCAAGAGGAAGTTTTAGGCCCTTTAGGCTTTAGGGTTAGGGCAGGCAAAACCTGATTTTCTGCGTGCCCAAGATGTGGTCCCTCAAGATGAGCAACCCCCGTTGGATGGTTGCCAAGGACAACCTGGACACCAACATGTCGGGGCCCCCGAATTGGATTCAAACCTCTACTATAAAATTGATTCATTCCGTGTTGCCTTTGAGGCTGCCCCCACTGGCGCGGATTTAAAAGGGACCCCCCGCCCCGTTTTTTTGCCATGCTCCCAACCCAATCCTCATGCGGGAAGAGGGCACCGGAGAGGCATGCCTATATCTTAATATGTTTGGCAATTTGTATCTCTTTTGGGCTGGTTCTGTGTGGGCGTTGCTCGGAAAGCACGTGGGTCAAGCTTCACCTTGCTTGTGCCAGCGCCATGCGGGTGCTCAGTGCCGGGAGCTATGACGCCCGGCAGAGTTCCATTAGCGTAGCTGTAAGAATCCCTGGAATGACAAATGAGGTGATCGCTGGCCCAAAGCCAATCGACCTGAAATGATCATTGGGCCTCGGGTTGTCCACTTTTGGCTGATATTCCGGTTCCAGGCCTGTGCTTCAATCCTAGGTCTGCTGGTGACAAGCGAGCAGTATGGCCAAAAGCCGCATATACGCTTGTGGCTCTTGCTGCCTACTGGAAGATTATCATTTTTCTCAACGTTCTCTGTTTGTTTTTTTGCCCGCCGTTCGAACTGCCAGGTGTGCATGCTCTTCTTGGCAGAGGATGCAGAGTCGGAGCGCGATCTGCAGAGGGCAGACTTCCGCATCATGCCCGAGGGCGCGGCCAAGAGCCTGCCAAAGCTGAAGGGGGCTGAGGCGGAAGGGGGCAAGGTTAGGGGAAACACAGTGCATGGGTGGCTCCTTATTTGAGGCCTCTTGACTCTTGGCTGGATGCTTATAGGGAAGACACCCCCCTGCTTAGGGTTGTTTGAAAGGGGAACCCGGGGAAACCAAACAGTTAGGCGTGTCTGCCCATTTGAGACACTCCAATGAAATCAGGCGTTCCAAGGTACCCCGCCAGAATAGTTTGGAAGACCATCTTAGTGGCGGCCAGTCAAACGATCCGACGGATTTGCCGCTTCGGTGCCAATTTCGTAGTCTATGTTCCTTTGGGAGGGCACGGGGGGAACTCACACCAGCTTTCCCACAAACACTGAGTTCCCGCATGCCCTCTTGGAGAAACCTGTATTTTTGTTATTTTTGGTGGGCTAATGCATCAGCCCCCCCGCGGGTCGGCGAACCGGCCCGCAGCGCAGGTGCAGCCTTCAGTTTGGGCGCGCACGTTTCAGAGCGGGCCCTTCGAGTTGCCGGTGCCTGCGGGGAAGACGCCGCCTTTAGTGCCCCTCAGCCTTTTCATTGTTTCTCGTGGAGGGGGTTTGCCTTTAAAGCCAACTACAAGCAAAAGGTGTGCCCCTTTTCTCCCATGGCGATTTATGAAAGCGCCGGCAAGGCATTTGGAAGCTCAATTGTCTGGAAGTTTTTTGGCCGATGCCCGGTGAGACACCCCGAACTTGCGGAGGGCTTCTCTGAATGGCCAAGCCGCAGCGCAGTGGTATTGTGAAATGAAAAGGTTTTCCAGAGTTGGGTTTGTAGGTATGGAGGGTATGTACCACTGTACATACTGCCTTGCAAGCTTGTATTGGTGGTATATTGACAAGGCCATGCCTGATAATCCCCTTGAAAGGGTCAGAATGGGAGCAAAGGCAAGTTGAAAAAGCAGTTGTTACTGCAATCACTGACCCGGACAATACCCTGATCCAAATTGGGGTGATACCTCTCTAACATGCAACCTCACAACATGTCCCAGGGGTCAAATGGGGATTGTTCACTTCTGTGATGCGCGGAAAGGTATCCATCCTGTTTCTTTTTGCCTAATGTTCGACATAGTTTCCACCTGATGCCTTTCTCAGCGCTCTTGTTCTACTCTTGCAACACGCGTAGAACCAGGGTGGAAAGCTAACCTAGTCGCAAACACGAACATGGGCTTGCTGGGGCCAATCCTCGCAGGAGGTGAGTACTCTGAAGTTGTGCGAGCAAATGGAGTAGAAATTGCAATAGATGTGGCTCCGGATTGTTTTGTCGGCATGCTTGACGGTATGGTAGAGAGAGTGTAGGAGCCCGAAAATGCGTTCGAATCATATTGTTGCTCTATATTAATCAAAGACGACATTCCCAAGACGTGGTAGGTGGTCGCCAAACATGTGGCAACCTTGTCGTGTTCTAAGCAATGAGCTTTGACACAGACAACTTAAAGGGGCTGGAGTAGCAATCTCGAGCCAGCAACGGCCTTGGCACATGGCAAGAGCGTAGTTAGCACCCAGTGATCACAATGATCCCTTGTGCTCTGTATAGCGGTTGAGATCGATCCCCCAAGGTTCATCCACAGCAAGATCTCCGCCCACGTGCAGGGCACTCGGCCCTGCCAAATGGCCAAGCTGCAAGCCGGGGAGGAGGTATATCTGCCCGAGCCAGAAGAGGACGCGCCTGAGGCCGCGCACAAAACCTTCGCTGAGTCGAGGTCTCAAGAGGAACCTTGCCACAATGCTATCCTACCAGGCTTAACTTCAGGGAAGGGCTAGCTCGAGGTGCAGCACTACTTGTACTTGTGATGACTTCATCAACTTTTGTCACTAGGGAAGAACGTTTCAGACTTGTTCGGGGCAATCCGCTCTAGAAGTGAGTTAGGGTCTAAAGGGGTTGCACGACTTATACTTTAGTTGCAGAACCTCCATACCCCCAAAACCCATACCTGAATCCCTTGGATCCTCTTTTTTGTTGTATGCCCATTTACGACATGCAAGTCAGCCGAAAGAGACTGAGTTGTGACCAGCCATGCCAGCCACTGCCCAAAGAATCTCTGCGGACACCGCAACACCACAAGCTTCAGGTCGTACCGTCACCGTGTACAGCTCACTTGCCCAAACCTTGACTCCTTTGGTTTTCCAAGGTTGGCTTCTTTTTAGTCAAGGTTTCAACAGGCTAACCTGTTGTCCCCAGGCACTGGGCAAGTGAGACAGGCTACATAAGGGGCTCAATCATAATTTTATGCTGGGCAGTGGTTGGGGGGGCCAGAAGCCCTTTTTACAGCCACGATGTAAAAATATTCAGCGGTGACCAGCGCATTGTTTTGGCTTGGGTAGGGAAGGGTTTCTGGAAATCCTATTAGAAGAGATCCTTTCCACCGCGTTTGTGAGGCCGATACAAACCCGAACCGCTGCACCGAGAGTTCTGAGTTGTTTCCCATTCCAACTTATAAACATAGTTTCTTCTTGGTTTCTTCTTACCTGTTTGATTGGCAAGCTTTTAAAGCTTTTTGGCACATGTCCTGCTCCTTTGAGCCAGGGGCCCAAGAGTTGTGGACTTTTTCTTGGTAAGTCAACTCAGCTGGCCAGTCTTGGCTTCCTCTTGGTTTCCGAAAATAATATACAAACTCAAAGGCACTGACATCCCGCTTCAAAATACCCGAGAGCCCTTTTGTTCCAATGGGCTTTCCTTTAAAGCCTACAAACAAGAATTAGAAAGTACCTTGTTTTCCTGTCTGGGGCCTGGGAGCTGGACACAAGCAAGGCCCTGGCATTTGCTTAAAGCCCCATATGTTTCGTCTGTCCTTGTTGGCTTCAAAGGGAGGAATCCATCACTGGACATATATATATATATATGTATATACGTATGTTTGTCAGGGCACTCCAGCGGGGCGATCGACCGTCAGGCGCTGGATGTGACGTTGCTTCCGAAGCCAAAGCCTGTCACTCGCCAAGATGATCTGGAAGGGAGCCGCTCCGGAGCTGGGGGTATCCAAATTGGCTTGTAAAGAGGGAGCTGCCAGGATTTCTGTAGACATGTTAGGATTAGTTTTCTATGTTTAGCATTTGCCTTGGTCAAGGTCCCGTGGCTTGAATTGGTTCGGGCGTTTGAGCCGCTAATTCTTGCAGAGGGTAACTGGGACATGGCTGAAAGGATGCTCAGTTGGCTATTGGCTACGGATCTTCCTTCGATGCAAGCCAACCCTAGGGGGACTCCTTCCAAATGGATTTCGGTTTTCGGTGTCCCTTCAAGCCAGCCTGAAAAGGGTACCGACTAAAAAAATACACGCCCGTTTGGCTATGAATTTGAATTAGGGGACCTGGTCGATGGACACAAAATCCCACCTGAATGATGTCCGCGTCGGGCCCAAGTAAAATTAACATCCTGTTTGTTCATTCTTAGTCAAAGTCCCAACCACCCTCCGACTCCTTTTTCGATGTCCCGAAGCATGTGCCGAAAAAGGTGCGCCCTTTCTATTCATGTTGTTTTCGCATTGCTTCATGTTGAGCTACGGAGAAGGTTGAACCTAGTAGACTTGTTTTCTACGCCCAGTCCAGGTTTCCGTTTTAGTCAAGGTCCCCAAAGAAGATCGGCTTTTCAAACTCCCTGAATGGCTGAACTTCAAACTTTGAGGAAGACCATTTTAGTAGTACACCTTTAGCTTAGACATTTCTGGCCAACCCCTTAGGCCAGAAGTGAGCTTTATGTGCTTTGGTCCTTTCCGAGGTGATGTTCCAGCTGGTGTCTCCTGGGGAGCTGGGCTACACGGGCTACTCCTTGTTCAAAGGCCCGCCCTGCGCTCAGCTCTGCGAGCAGTCGGAGGCAAGGGGGAAGCAGGGATGGGAGAGGGCCTTGCTGGATGCAGTAAAATGCAACTCCGCATGTGATCTTAAATGCCGCACATGTTCCAGGCCCTTATTCAAACAACACAGTTGGGGAGGGGATTGAAAGGAGTAGGGGTAGGGCAGGGTATGGAGCCGGAAAGCCTTATAAAAGGGTATACATGGGGTATACGACAACGCCAACTAATACTTCATATAGCTCCATACCTGTAGTGGATAGATACATGCTGAAGCTTGCTGGTGGCAAAAGTGAAATTGGAAGGCCCAACCCAAATAGAATCTGCTGAGGCGAAGTGAAGCAGGGCCGGGCAATGTACACCTGTTATTTGAGTAAGATGGCAGAAAGGTTGGTTTGAACCTGTTGTTGTAGCACTTTCCATTCAGTGCCAGAATCTTGCCGTTTCAATGCAATTTGCTGCCCCACAGCCAGGTGAACCGCAAGCATATTATGTGGGACATATCCGCGCTTTCGAATCTTTCAATACCTTTGGGTAGGCTTCTTTGCCAGGATTGGATTGTGACTCACTCTTGGTTCTTCAAGGCTTGGATGGTTTTTGGTTGTTTGCTTTCCCACCCCACCCCCCCATTTAGGTGCAGATGCGGATTGAGTCCATGGAGCGCTTGTCCGTGGCCATGCTCCTCTTCCCGCGGCCTTCCGAAGGCGCGGCCGCCTTTCGGCGGAGTTGGCGGAGCCAGGAGTTGAGAGGTTCCTCTCTTGAAGGCTTGAAACGTCACTGTTGGGTATGATGCGGTGGGTATTTAAAGGGGTGCCCTTGAAGTGCGGTGAACATTTGAAGGGGAAGCAAGCGCCAAATTTCATGGCTCATTTGGTTCGCCGGGAAAAAAACTTAAGGGTAAGACAGCTTGACGCGCGTGCTGAAAGGGGATTGGGTCGTGGAAAACAGAAATGAGTCCTGGCCGCCAAGAGGAAAGGGCTTGAACTGTTTTTTCGGGAATAACTTAAGTATGAAACCGCCTATTCTGTACGAGCAAAATGCGTTGTTCTTGAGCCCCAATTCTGCTCGCATTTTGGTTGCAATTGCAAGTGTTCACAAAGAAAGCAGTGACCTGCAACAATTCCTGCATGACGCATTTTTGGGTTTTGGCCATGCACTACATAATACAGAGCAGAACTTTTTTTATTGGTAGGCGTTTCTCCGAGGCCCCAAGTTCCCCGTGAACAAATCCGTCCGAACTCCGAACAAACTCCGAACAAACTCCGAACTCCGAACAAACTCCGAACGAACTCCGAACGAACTCCGAACAAACTAGGAACAAACTCCGAACAAGCGAACAATATCCGAACGAACTTGGTCATTGGTTGATTTCCGAACAAACCCCCGAGCCAACTCCGAGCACACTTTGGCCATAAGTATGTTTTTGAGCTATTTTGGTGGTCAAACTGTTTTTGTTTGCTTTTTTCGAGCTTACCAGAAGAGGCAAAGGGATTACAGGGGCCAGTTTCAACAAGTGGCCTGGGAAGGCGTTTTTTGAGGCAAACACACATGTTATCAGGCCACTTGTTGAAATTAGTTCTTTGGTCACTTGATTTTCCTGTTCTGCATGTTCCGGGCTGGATTTACTTCCCGGACAAGCGCCAAACAAACTTGGATTATATTTTTCTTTGGGGTGCTGATTTTTGTGTTTTGGCCTTAAGTTGTTTTTTTGGGTTTGTTTGTTTTTTGCTTCTTCTTTTTTTGGTGATGGTTGCTTATTATTTATTTATTTTTTTTCGGGGCTTAATTCTTGCCCCGGACAAACTCCGAACGAACTCCGAACGAGCTTTGGCCTGAAGTTTTTGTTTTTCTCTGGAGCTTATTTGTTTCGGTGTAGAACTTTTTGGGTTTCGGTCGTACAAAAACACTGTAATTACACCTTGTTACCAGGGCAACAAAAACATTGACACATGCTTAATTCATGTTTTTCCATAGAAAAGTCAGTTTTTTCATACGACCAAAATCGGGCAAGCCCTCACAAAATTCGGGCAAACCCTTAAGCTCAACACTGGTGTTGAACTTATTTTTTTTGGAATAAGGTTCTTTCCCGGATTAAGCCTTGATGAAAAAGATTATGCTTTGTTTCAGCTGCAACAGCGAGCCTCAGCGCCAACCAAGCTGCGTGATCACCCCGGTAGCGATTTTAGCCCTCTGCAGCTCTCAAGTCCTACAAATCCGGCCCTGACCGCCTTCCCAGACCACTTGTTCCGTCTGGCCCCTGTGATCACTTGGCCTCTTTTGGTAAGCCCGAAAAATGCAAAATGTTTGACCACCAAAATACTTAGGCTCAAACACGTACTTATGGCCAAAGTGTGTTCGGAGTTGGTTCAGCCAAGTTGGCTCGGGGGTTTGTTCGGAAATCAACCAATGACAAAGTTCGCTCGGAGATTGTTCGCTTTTTCGGAGTTTGTTCCGAGCTCGCCCGGAGTTCGTTCGGAGTTTGTCCGTAGTTTGCTCGGAGTTTGTTCGGCGTTCGTTCGGAGTTCGTTCGGAGTTCGTTCGGAGTTCGTTCGGAGTTTGTTCGGAGTTGGTTCACGTGTGGCCAAAACCCAAAAATGTGCCCATGCAGGATTTATTGCAGGTCACTGCTTTCTTTGTCAAAACTTTTAATTGCAAGCCCAGAATTTAGCCAAAATGCGAGCAGGATTTGGGCTCAATAACAACGCATTTTGCTCGTACAGAAGAGGCGATTTCATAGTTAAGTTATTCCCGAAATACAGGTCAAGCCCTTTCCTCTCGGCGGCCAAGACTCATTTCTGTTCAGACGCCCCCCCAACCCTTTCAGCACGCGCGTCAAGCTGTCTTACACTTGAGGCTTAGCGCGCGGAAACGGCGGGGTCTTCTGGGAAACAAGCTAATTGATTCTTGTTTCGAGCAAGCTGGCAAGGTTACTGCAATTTTCTTGTTTTTTGATTTTGGCATACCCTTAAGTTTGAGTAAAAAACCCTTATTCGTTTTTAGGACGTTAATACACATAAATCCCGAACGAGCTGACCTGACCCATGAAATTTGGCAGAAGTAAGGGAAACCTGGACACCCGACCTGGCTTGAATATGCAAAGTGAACATTGTGTGTGGAGGCAGGGGTTCTCCTTTTTGAGCTTGAAGTTTCGCTTGAGGCCGATTTGCGCGCGCGGAAGGTGCAACCACATGAGGCGAAGTAACGCCATCGCCATTTATCAGGTTCTCCCCTCCTCCCATTTAAGATAAACCCCCTGCGGGCTTGTATCTGCAATGGGGCACCTGTCGACCTCTTCGGAGGTCAGGGTGATTTTCGATATTTATCCCAAAAGTGTCCAGTTTTACGAAAAACAAAGGCCCAACCCTCAGGATCCAAGGATTTTGAGCATTGAACATGGGGGACCCTGGCACAGGCCTGGAGGCTGAGCCTTTGGCTCCCCCGCCGGGGAATGCGGCATCGCGGGCCAACTCCAAGACCGGCTCCAAGAACCCGGCGGCCTCCAACCCGAGCTCTGCGCCGAGAAGTGTTCAGGTGTCAAAGGTGGAGCGCCTCAGCCGCGAATCCGAGGGGCGGCGGCGTTTGGGTTTCCTTCCCCCTTTGAGGGTTCTATGTTGACTGGGATCTCTTGGCATTTTAATTGTTGATGCCCACTAAATCCGCACCTCCCGTTTTCCCAAACTTAGATGCCCTTTTAACAGCTGGGCTGTTCAAGGGGTCTCCTTTGTAGCGGCTTCCCAGTAGTAATTATGGAGGTAGGATTGGCCAACCCTCCATTTTGAACAGCTCAGTCTGGAAGAACCCACGGGAGAGGCGGGATCCTCTTTCCCCAGGTGTGCAGAGCCTCCCTGCTGGATCCGCGAAGATGGCTGGGCGGTTCAGCCACAAAAGGTGGCCACCTCGGTGCAGACGGAGGCGGGGCTGAAGGTGACGTGCACCCACCTCTACACCAACACCCTGGAGCCGGGGAATGCGCTGGAGGCCATGTTGGCTGTGGCTTCGGGCGATTGATGCAACACCCTTTTGCGGTGGTTTTAACATGTTGTGTGTGTGTGTGTGTTATCCCTGTTGTTATTATTTTTTTGGGGGGGTCCCTACTATTTACAGACAAGTTTTGTTCTACATCAGCGACTTTGAAGCTTACCGATACAACCTGAATTTGGGTGATTGCGGCTTTGTGGGTCCACTGATTCAGCTTATGTGTTGGTAGCTTGATTCAGCCAGTCCGCCAGGTGCCCGGGTGCGGCGCCTCCTTCTTTTGCCTCTTCCTCTTCAAGCAGCTGAGCCCTGAAAGGCACGGCAGACTATCCTCCTGTTGGCTTCCGGTTAAGGGCCAGGGGTTTGTCCTGAGCTCATGGACTTTAAACTCGTTGGGAAAACCAAGTTAGTGCTAAACACAAAGTGTTGTGTTTTTTATTGCCAGCTGACTTTGTACAACGCTTTTGCCAGGCCCGACACCTTGCGCCAGCTGCTGCTCAGAGAGCCGGCCCTGTTGACCAAAGACCGGCAGGTGGACAGCCTGGTGCGGCAACTGCGGCAGGCGCCACAGCTAATCTCCGGGTTCACCCTAAACCAACCAGCAAACGCTCGTTCCCACATAATGTGTTGGTTTGCATCCCCAGTTGTTCCCCATACATTTTGGACTTTCTCCAAATCACATCCCCAACGGATTTGGCGGGGATAAAGAAACGGGTGCGGAACATGTCCTGGAAGGACGCCATGAACTGGGCAAGTTGAAAAAGGGGGGCGTGCCCCCATCATCACGAAGATCCCTTGATTGAACTTGTAGATGAAACATGGTTGCGGGAACAATCATGAAACATCGGGTTCATCGGTCAAGTGGGAACAGCAAGCTGGTGGGGTACCTCATGGGAACAAGTGCCCTCTCGGAGGACTTGGGCGACTCCTTGGCGCGCGCGGCTCTGACTCAGAAGCTCGACGCCTGGCTGTTTGGTCGGATTTGTTCACGTAGGTTTTCCCGCCCAGTTGTTTAAAGTAAAACTTGGGGATGTGAACAGTTAGGGGGTTGCCTAGGGTTGCCAAAGTTATGTATGTTCTTTTGGCTACCTTTTTGGAGCACAGGGGGCCTGTTTTGTGCAGGACGAGTGGCCGAAGCTCTGCCAAACAGCCACAGACTCGGAGCTCGCGAGATGGGTTTACGACCAGAAGGTTGCGGCGCTGGGGCAAGAGGCGGGACAAAATGAAATGGTTTCCGCTGGGTGTAATTTTGCTCAATGTTGCTTTCCCAAAACGGAAGCTAAAAGGGATGTTGCATATGTTTTTTTAGTGAGACAAAAGGGAACGGCCAGGTGGGCTGTGCTCGCGAGATCCTGGGCCGTTTGGGAGAGAGGCCAGTGGCGGCGCCGCTGTTGCTGGACCGTTGCCAAGCGCTGAGGAAGATTTGCGCACCTCGAATTTTGCAGGGGAGTGGGGGTCGACCAGCTGGGTCGTTCCTTTGTTTCGATTCTTGATTTCTGGCAGCTCATTGTTTTCCGCATGACCACTGGAGGTTTGGGGAAAGCTATCCGAATCTAGGGCTTGGGGTGGAGGGGGTTTCGGGGACTTGTGGTTTGGCAGGCTTTGGGGTTGACTGGCCTCCGGATTACTATCCTTTAAGGGGGCAGGGAAGTGCTGTCGGGCTAGCCGATCTGGCCATGGGTTTTGCGGGAGGCGCCAGCATATCACAGGGCAGCTATTTCGCAGAGACTCATGCCCCAAACACGCAAATATCCCGAAGAAGATGGTTGTAGCATACACCAAATATGTGTCCTTCGTTTCGGGATTGGGCTTGTAGGGTTTGGGCCTGCAACATTTGCTTCCAGTGTCCGCGGCACGCGTTCGGGAACCCCCAAGTAGAACCTCCCCCGCCCGCGGCAATCAGGTAAGCATTGGCAAAGCCTCTAAGTTCCTACTACAGTGGCGAAACGCCTGGAAGCTCTGGGGCACTGGCGGCCTTTATTTGAACTGCTGCAGGTATGGAAATAGCAATGGCTCCGTCGGCCGAGAGCAACATGCCATATGAAAACACACAATGCCCTTATTAGGGCAAATTGGACTGACCACTGGAAGCACTGGGTAAGATGTGGGTGTATATTTTTGGGCAAAACAACATGAGTACAGAGAAGGCTTCACAGCAACCGACAAGTGCATGGAGAGGGTGCCGATCTGAGTTGTGGCCTTTTTCCTTCTTTGTTGTCCGGGGGGGGGGCGGGGGCGGGGGTTGGCTCCAAAAGTGAACGATCCGTCACTTCTTCATTTTTGCCAAGAGGTCAAGCGGCTTGCTTAAGTAAGATTACACTGAAGAAGCCAGTTTCGAAGTCAGCGAGCCGAACTTGCGCTGCAACAAGTGGCTGGGTTCTTGTTTGTTTCCCTTGACATCGCCCTCTCCTAGTTTATCCTATTCTGAAAAAGCCACACCTCAGCGGGCCGGTTTTGATTGAGTTTCCTTTGGAATGATGCTTCAGCGGAAATGTGCCGATTCAACAACTGAGGAACCACTAATTTGAGAACCCTCAACCCATCCTTTGAGATTCCTTTGGGGCAAGGGAAATATTGTGTCTGCCTATACGGCAGCAAACTTGCGGGTAAACCTGCTTAAAACTTTTGGTCCGGTTACACTACATCTAGGTGTACTATTGTGTGCTTAGGTGGGGTTGAATTAGATGGACCCCTCAATCGCAGATGTATGGACAGGTGGCCGCAGGGGTGGGGACCTCCCCGCACCAAGGAATCTCGATCACTGGACCAAGTCTTGCAAGAGCTCCCGGAGCTCTTGACAGTGGAGTCCAATAGTTTGCTTGGGAGCCGCGTGCGACGGTTTGCGGCGGTGTTGATGTTGGTGTTTGTTTGTTGTGTGGCATGTAGGTTTGGAGGCCAGTAGTTTTTGTTCATCAACTTTGCGTCATTTCTTGGTTTCCTCGTTTCCTCGTTTCCTCGTTTGCTTGGCCGCATGCTGCGGCGGTTGTCCAGTGATCACCGCCCATGGCGTTCTCCCCGCGCCCGCGAGGAGCTTTGAGACGCTGCAAAGCCACTTGGGCCAAAGCGACGCGCTGGCCAGCGCAGAGGCGCACCTGCGGCTTTTGACGCTCGGATCAACTCTGATAAAGCACATCGGGGGCGGGGGGGTGCCCTTTGCAGGTTTGTTTAAACGGGAAAGCAAATGGACAAATCCACATGTTGTTTGCCCCCCCCCCCCATGTGGACACATTCAGGTGATTTGTTTCAAGGATAGTTTTTGTGGTTGTTAACTTGTTTGGATAGATAGATATGCTGTTGTTTCTTTGCCTTTCCATACAGAAAGCCATAGCAGAATGGATGCTATTTGATTGCTTGTTTTACCAAAGAAGCAGCGCACCGTTTTTACTCACCAAGGTTTGTCTAAGTCTGTTTTTTGGTGCAAAAGCGAAAACATGCCCCCTATGGCTTCTTGTTGTCAGCAAAAGACACAGGATGCTCTGCCAATGCATGTAGCAGCAGCACCCAGGATGCTTCAAGATCAGCTGGGTCACTTCTTCTCCATCTTGCTGGAGACCTTTTCCGGCGCCGACTTACGAGAGTTGCACGACAAGGCAACGCGAGCCTTGGCTGGAGGGGGGGGCGGGGGGCTCAGGCCTTGGGCTGTTGGACGTTTGGGCTCTTAGGGGGCTTGTTGGGGAGGAAGATGTTTTGTTGGAGGGGGGGTTGGGACACATCAGGCCGTGTTTGTTTTGCTTTTGAAGTGTGTCAGGCCTTGGTTGCAGCTAGGAGGGCCCTGTTTTGAGGTTTGAGGTCACAGAACACGCTGCATGTGCTGGTTTGCAGCATTTTTTGGGGGAGAGTTTGGGGAGGGGGATATCATTTCAATGAAGTCTAGATGCTGAAAACTAGCTTGCAACACGCCAAGCAGGCAAGATCATATGGCCTGCTTCTCTCCCCTGGCGAGTTCAGCTGTCAGTTTTTGCCAGGTGGGCATCCAAGTTCATGATCAGACAGAGACATGTCTACAGAGAGTTCACTGAACTAACACGAGGCATTGGGTTCACGGAAAGGAGTTCACACCAAACAAGAAAAATATGTCAATGTGTATGTCAACAGTATAGCTCAGGGGCTGCATCACGTCCAATTATGTTTTGCGTGCTCGCATTCGCCTTGCACACTTTTGGCACCGTAGCTGTCCGCCTTTTGAGAGGGGAGTTTGACGCTTGCTTGCGCATCCACCCTAAATGCCCTCAGATTTCTTCCAATCTAAGGTGCTTGGGCTGCTAGCGCTATTGGGTGAAACAAGGGGAGAGAGATATAGAAACGTGAGGGATTGAATTTGATCCAAGGAGAGTGGGTGAAGTGGCCCAGCATTGTGGAGAGAAGCGACCACGAGATTCACAGCTGGCGAGGCCCAGGGATTGTTGGCTTGGTACCCTGGCTGCTGACTTTCAGGGAGGCTGCCAGGGTTTCTGACTAAGTGACCTGCGCCTTCCAGTGCGCGAAATTGGTATGTTGCAGCCTTCGAAGGTCTTGGTTCCTTCGGGGCCGTATTGATTCGACAAATGTTGAATCTTCCATTTGCTGAAATTGTGTTCAATTGTCCTCTCTTGGTTTTTGTTTTTGGGGGCATGTACTTTTATCATAGCAGTTTGTAGTACGCCAATACCCAACGCGGTATTTTGGCTCAAGTTTTGCATCCGGCATTCATCGTCCGCCATTTCGTCGGGAAAAGTCCGCGGCGCATCCGCACGCCGGCCGCGTGGCATCGCGGCCGTCGTGTCTGGGGCGGTGGTCTTTCTCCTGGAGGTGGGTCGGGCTATTGTTTGGGGTGCGCTGCTATTGCTCGCTTTGCTCGCTTGGTGCTGCTTGCTGCTGGTTTGCTTGCCTGCTTTGCGCTGTGCTGCGCTTCTGCTTGGTTCCTTCTTGTTACAACGAGGCACCCCTTTTGGTTCGTGTTAGTGCCGGCCGGGGGCAACCGCTTTGCCCTTGGGACCGGGGGGGATAAGGTGGTCTCTTCTTGTTGGTGGGTTAGGGCCTGTTTTATCCATCCCGAAACTCTGTTTCAAACCCTTTCGCAGGTTATCAGCCGTAGGATTCGTCCTCGGTTGGCACCGCGAACCCCTTTTAATAATAACCCTGCAGGTACCGTAGGTCTCTGTAGGCGTCATGTCGGGAATCACTGAGGACGGACCTCATGTGGTGACCGACGAATGGGTTCTCGGCCAGGCCGGAATCTTGGACGTTGTGAATGACGACCAAGTGCCCGGACAGCCGATGTTTTCCGGTCCTGACTTTTTGTCGGACCACACTTTTTCAGAAGCAATGCCTTCAGGAAGGTCCAGTGCTACTCGCACTGATGACCTATCGTCTAATGCCTCAAGAGCTAATCGCTCTCAGGGTCATGGGGCTAATCGTCCTGACCATGATGATTCCGTCTCAGGACGTGATGATGACGAGCCCGGTATTGCACCTGGAGCTCAATCCTCATCTTTCCCGGAGCTGATGAATATTGGTCAGTCCGAGTTTCGTGACTCTCGAAGTAGCAGTAGACCTGTGCCAACCAGTAGCATAGCTTTTCAAATGCTCGGTAATCCCGAACATGGTACATCCAGTGGAGTTGCATTTGATGTTCATCTGCCGACCGAATCCGGTGGGCTCGATTGGAGAGCCTCATGGCCCAACGACGGAAACATTTTTGGAATGGATTTTGCTGCATGGATGCCAGGGCCACCCGCCCCGTCATCTTTCCCGCAATTCCAAAGCCCAAAACGGGCTGCTGGAAGCGATGAATTCATGCTACCTTTATCGATTGAGAATCTCAATCCTGACGTGGCCAGCCGTAACGTCAGGCCAAGGCCGTCGGTAAACCCGACCATGAGGAACATGTCCCCTCCCCCAGGACTTTCAGGATTTGAGAGCCCTAGGGAGCGTAATATCGTAGATAAATTGGATTTGCATCCCAGTCCTACCCCAAGCAAACGATCAAGGTCAAATTCGACTGGATCGCATAGGGCAAGGGGGATGGATCGGGAAACTGCCCACAGGGGTAACCCCAGTGCGCGGGACTCAGGACGCGGTCGATCAGGTGACCCAGCGTCGATCATTGGTAGAGACCCGTTAAACGCGGACACACTCGTTAACGTGCTTGATGGGATCGAAGCATTCCAGGAGGAATTTAATAGGTCAAGTGGCTTGAACGCGCAAGGTGTTTGTCCTACGCCCAATGCGGCCTCATTTCTCGCCATTGACAACACAGACGGAGCTGATGTTCCGATTGAGTCTGAATCCATGATGGCATCAAGTTCCAATCACAACAACACCGTCAGCAGCGCTACCGATGTTGAATCAATGTCTGAGTCTAGAGCGTCCAATGCGACTGATTTGCATGACGTTGTCATTGCTGATATGAAGCCTGAAGTTCCTATGCGGACTGACAGGCCGGTAGTTCCCAAGTTGTTTGTGACAAAGGGTCTAGGCATGCCACAGCCATCAGCTGTTCGTGATGCCAGAAGATCTGCACCGTATCAGAGTCAGTCTCCGAATCGGAGCGAATTCCCACGGTCATCAACGGCGGTACAAGATGATTTCAGGACACCTCCGAGATCTAATCCGATCATGGTTGATTTGTCCACTCCTCGAGATCGCGGGTCAGGATTTGGTCCTGCGAGTGAGGAGCAACCCAACGAGGATGCTGATCTTGTAACAGCCCTTGAAAGAGGAAGAGTGGACTCTTCGGTAAGTGCGATCATTCATCGCCTGGTTGCTAAGGTCGATGACCTTGGGCGTAGGAATGATAGAAGTGATCAATGCATCAGGCAGCTCTCCACTGAGGTTAACTCGTGGAGGGCCAAATACGACCAATGCGTCCATATGAATAGCACGTGTGCGCAGGCTGCGAACGCGGCCATGCAGCTGTCACAAGGGACTAAGGACATCGTGACCGAGCTTGGCCAACGCGTCAAGATCGTTTCCAATCGCATGATAAGCATAGGCGATGCCCTAAATGAGCGAGCTAGCTATGATGATGTTGCTCGCTCCATCACCCAAGTTCAAACTGTTTTTGAATCTCTTTCTGATCGAGTAACCGGGCTTATAGCTCGTGTTGATATGATCGAGAGATCTCTAGTGGAGAGCCAGTCCAACCATCCTGCGATTGGTGGAGTTAACCTCAAAATCGAGGACCTGTCCACTAGGGTATGTCAGATCGATAGGATGATGCAGGATGTCGAACAATGCTGGACCAATAATAGGGACGGCATAAAGTGGGTTAAAGACCAACTTTATGAAACACAAGCCAACCTTGAGATAAAATCAAGGGACTGCAAATCCTACACGGACAAGCAGAATACTCATAACATGGCCGTTTCGACTACGCTCAACAGTAAGATCGAGCAAATGCTCGAGGTGCTGGGTAATACGGCCCAGAGAATTAGCTCCCTCGAGTCAAGGCACTCGAGCCAGGCATCAAGTAGTGGATTGAACGATCGCACAGGAGGAAGGCGGGCCGCGTCCCGTACTCCGGATAAGCGGCCTCCTCCAGATCGGCAAAGCCCAGGAGGAGGGGGGAAGAAGAGTGCTGCCGGTGGAAACCCTGGCGACCCTGGTAAACCCAGGTGTAAATACGTAGGTGATGGAAATAATCACCTCATGGCTGAGTTTCACTGCAAGGGATGCAGAGGTGATATTTGTGAGTATTGTTTCTCGTTCAAAGAGAACTTGTGTGAAGAATGTTCCCGGAACGGACCCCGATGCGGTGTCTGTAGGGAGAGCTCGTTCCTGACCAGGGGAATCGAGTGTCAGTTTTGTAGGACCTACTACTGCACCAGACATTCCGCTGGGCAGGATGACTACAGGAGATTTGGATTTGTCCAGGGTCCCTGTTGTCTTGCGTGCCTTAGGGACGAAACTAGGAGAAGAAGGGATCCCGATGGTAACCGTGTCAGGAATAGATCTCCTGGAGGCGCACCTGAGACGAACCCGACGCGGTCGTACTCGCCGCCTCTGCGGCCACCCGTTGACAGATTCCGTGACACTCCCACTGGGGGTCAACCCAACGCGGCTGACTTTCAGAGCCCTCCGAAGGCTATGCAACCCGTGCCCCTGGATAAACGTGAAACCGGATATTATCCAGGATTTGATCCCAACGGTACAAGGCCGAAGGATCCTTCAGGCCTTGAGCCGCCGACCATGCGTGGCCCCGATCCTCCTGACAAGAACTGTCGGATGTGTGATCGGGATATTCCTGACCCCAGCAAAATTGGGGAATGTAAGATATGCATGAAAAGGGCATGTGAGATTTGCATTCCAAAGGCTACTCGCCTTTGCCCTGTATGTGCACTGTCAATCGGTAGTTCTCAGGTTCCACAGCATCTTTTCGGAACTGGTGGCGGCGGATACAGTAGCCACCATGATCCGAACTGTACAGCTGCGACTAAGTGCATTCCCATAGACCTCCCGCCAGAGCCCGACGCGGCTGGGCTGAGGGTATGGATAGCCAATATGAAGGAAGCTGTTAGCAATGCCTACAGCTATGATGGACTTTACGTCATCAATTGGCTAACTGAAGTCGAGAAGGCAAAGACCTTTGATGATCTGGATGGGGAATGTAAATACCACATCCTTGAAGCCAGGTTCAATGCAGCCATTCGGAAGTGCATCAAGACTGTTGCAATTATCGATAAGATTAATCGTCTCACCGAAGCCGCTCAACGCTCCAACAATCGCATCAAGAGTAGGCAGATCCTGTGGCTCTTATACGACCACTTAAGGACTGCGAATATCGGAGAGCAATCATTCAGGATTCTTGAGCTCTCAAACTTGCGATGCAGTGTTTCTTCTTTCTATACCGAAGAGGAGCGACTTGAAAGGTTCATCGCGAAATGGGATCACATCCTTGCGGGTCTCGATGAACCGCTGACAGAGCAAGTAAAGCGGTCGCTATTCAGTGAGAAGGTTAGACACCTCAACTGTCTGGCTCATGATATCAGGGAATGGGATAGGAATATATCCAACCCTGATGTTTGTAGCTATGAATGGCTTCGTGCTCGTTGTAAGAACGAAATTGACCGCTGGAGGGTTCGTAAGAACCAGGTCAATATGCATAAAGACTTTTACGAACGGTCTCAGTCCAGGGACAGAGCCCAGAAACCTGGTGCTCCCGGTCCTCCCGTCAGGAGACGATCTCCGTTTGGAGATTCCTATAGGCCTAATCGGCCTCCTAGTGATCCAAGGAAGAGGACCGGTAATACCCCAAGTCCTCATCGAAGGGACAAGTACTCTCCCAGGAATCGGGAGCAGGACAAACGGCGTACGCCTAGCCCTAGGGGTGAGCCCCCAAGGAGGCCCAGATCTACGTCGCCCGGTGCTCCTGCGATTGATGCGTGCAGGGACTTCGCGCGTGGATACTGTT